CCATGATCACAATGATGAGTCAGAGTGGTGGCCCCCTCAACACTTAGAAAACACTTGCGGCAATACTCGTGGTCAGAGGTATACTGGGTTGCTGTTAAGGAACTTAAATTAAGTTAGTATATTGGGGAAACCCTATTATTTACTATATATACCCATTATGGTAACCCTAAACCCTAAACCCTATATACCCATTATGGTAACTTAATTTAGGTTCCTTAACAGCAATCCAGAATAGGCACAAGCTGCGCAAAGTCTTTGAGGAACACGGGGCTCGCCCAAGTCGGCTGCACATGTTCGAGAGCTACTTATGTGGGGGGATTACGGTTTGTGGCTTAGGGTTTCGGGTTTAGGGTTTAGGGGGGGAGGGGTTTAGGGGAACCTAGAGAAACCCCCATTGAAACTTGACCTAAAATCACTGCTCGCAGAGTGGGGGATATGTAGGGATCTGTATTCTAAAAGGAACACCACTATAGGCACCCGTATTACAATGAATTTAGGCAAGTCCCCATGTGATCCCTATGAAGCCCTAGCTTCCATTTCATGTGCCATATTCTTTTCGATTTTTCTTCATTTTTAATAGTTTCCATGTTCTGTTCCCTTCTCCGAAATAAAACCCATAATGCAATCAGGGAAATGCACATACATATGGCAGTTTCCATCAGAAGGGGGACCCAAACATAAACCCACAAATTCTATAGTGCTTATTATGGGGGCACCCAAACCTGTACTCCTGTATCAAATCAGGGAAAGCTACAACTAGGAGCGCGCTGGCTCACCCAACTCCGGGTCCGACGTTTAGGCTTTAGGGTTTGGGTTTAAGGTTAAGGCAGTCACGTGCGAAGAAAAATCCTGACTACTCGCTTTCATGCCCCTTGGGGTATGTACCCTTCAGTTTGGATTGTAATCCATGGGATATGGCCCTCAATTTGGGTACTTGGGACCACAAGCCCGAGGCTACAAACCTTCAGGTTAGGTGGACCCCCCCCACCCAGTAATAGCGACCATAAGGGATAATGATGGTCATATTAGGGTCCTCTTATATTCCTAGTACACCACTATTACGGGGTGGGGGGGTCCTCGAAACCTGAAGGTTACGAAGTTAAAGCCGTTGATCCTCTCCTCTCCACTCGAAAAAACCTTAGACTGCCTAGCGCCGCAAAATCTCTTGCAGGACCCGAGCGCACCAGAGTGTAAGCTCCGTCAGTCCGCCTGAAAGAACCTATGCAACAAGGGAAATATTTCAGAAAGCATGGAATCCCTGAAGAACCCTGAACCCTAAACCCTATATCTTGGGTGGCATCTGTCCACCTCTCATGTGCCCATGATTATGTTCTTCATGTTGCCAGACCCTAAACCAAAAACCCTAAACCTTATAGGAGGATGTCAAAATTATGGTCCCTTT